GAATTCAGAAACGGTACGGAGCCTACTTACTACTCCAATGCTCCCGAGTCCGTACTATTTTCTAATATTCCTGGCCCCGTAAGAGATTGAACCAAAGGACCCTTCGGACCCAATGTTCTTAAAATTGGGCCAAAGGCAACCTCGGACGGATCACATTTAGGGATAGCAATTCAACTCAAATCCAAAGGTAATCAATCTAATCAAACACTACAAATATTCCAACCCAAATTGAGAATTCAAAAATCCAAACCTGATCCGAAAATTTCAAATCCGAATCTGACACAGTCGGGTCATGTTCGAGTTCGATATTTTACCCGACTTGAACCCAATTATTTAAGACTAACAAAATCTTATGTATCCCTCTACATAGTACTGCATATAATATAATATATTACATACACTCTCGCATTTCACCACTTCTCGTTTTTTCCAACACTTAGCCGCATATGTCTTTCTTGCTCACATCTCGCTACTCCTTTACCGATTGTTTATTTACCTTGTTTATCTTCTTAATCATGACCTTTTGTATAACTTTTTTTTATTTTTTCTCTACAGGTACTGCATTTAATGTAATATATTTTCTCATTTTTGTATATGCAAATGTAGCAATTTAATTTGTCAAAATTATGGTCCGATTTGAGTCAGATGTTTTGTTAATATAAAAGTGTGGTTTAAAATTCATTATTGGTTAAATTTTGGTTTCGAGTTTAAAAGTTGGGCTCGGGTTTGCGTTCTGGATTTAAAAGTTGGGACGGATTCAGGTAAAGTACTACCTCATTCGAACCCGACTCGCTGTCATCCCTAATCAGGTTATTCTGGTCTAGTTCAACAATAAAACCAATGTTCTAAAATTAGATTATAAATAAAATCAAAAAACTAAGTGGGTCAAAGGTTAATGGGTTGAATCGGGTCAACTTATTGATATATATGCCTACTTGTTATGGGGTCAAGGGTGTAGGTTTGATCCCCAACGATACACAGTTTTTTTTATAGAAAAGTAATAGAAACTAGACTTTTATATCACTCTAGGAATCGCCGAATTTGGATGAATTTTTACTAAAATATATTTTAGCCAATGGAATTAAAATCGGGTGAGATCGGCCAATGAGCGAAACGGTGACCCGCTGGACTAGTCGACCGGTTCACGGGTAGTAGCTTAAGTGGTTACACTAGGGGGGTCAAGGTGGTAGGTTTGAAGCCCCAATGATGCAAAGTTTATATTTTTATCTAAAGTTAATTTGAATAACTACAAAATTATCAAAAAGGTTAACTTTAATTTAAAACATCATTCCCACATACTTCTTTCATTTAGAGTCTTTTTCACTTTGATTTGGCACACATACAAATATGGGAGTCCGTATATGGTACAACCGGTTGTACCAGAAGTAATGTACCACTAGGTAGCTTTCATTTTGAAGTAAGTAGTATTCATTCACACACAAAAAATAAGTGTTCATTTTGAAATAGCGTAGTACTAGTACTGAAATAACATAGTACTCGTTCTGAATTAATGTAGTACTCATTTTCACACATTTGTTCAATATAATTATAATATTCATTTACGAGTAATGTAGTGTTCATTCTAAAATAAAGTAGTGCTCATTTTCAAATAATGTAGTGCTCATTTTCATGTAAGAAAGGATTTATTTCCTTTAAATGTAGAAAATATAATCTAAGAGTTTAATTAGTTAAAGTTACATACTCACAACTTCATCGCACCCATCTAAGGCAGTAAATCTCGACCAGGCATTTCATCTTCATCCACAATCAATCTCAACCATGGCATCTTCATCTTCTGCAAATTAGGGTTCGCCATCTTCATCCATAATCCAACTAGTTAAATTAACTGGAAAATGCCTACTACCTGAAATCAATTCATATTCTTTCTTATCAACTCAATCAATTTGTTATTCTGTGCAATCAAACTCAAACTTTTCAAAATTAGAAAACTTCCAATACCAATTATTAAAGTTTATTTACATGTCAATCTTTGTAAATACGACACGAGAATAAATTGAACTCTTTTAGAGGTAAATTTATTACCACTAAAATTCAATCGTCAACTATTACCACTAAATTTATTACCACCCTTCACAGATTTGATGTGAAACCCTACCCTAGTTCCCTGGTGTGGGTCAACGATGTTGGGCCAGTTAGGATTATACTGGAGAATATAACCCTCATGGAGCAACCAATGCGCTTTATTTAGGACAACTTTTGAAATAATCGTGGGGATTTCCCTAACATTATAGGAGCGAGATTAGGAATTGGAACACCCTCGGGAACCGGTCCCTCCTGGTATAAAGACGAAGAATAAGATGAAGAAGAGGAAGAAGAAGACGAGATGGAATCCTCGGATACAGATGCATACGAGGTGGATGAAATGTTTTGCTATCCTCAGAAGACATAACCGGTAATGGAAAGTGATGAAGAATCGGAAACTTACTTGGAAGTTAGAAGACTTGAAGGGCTGAGGAAGAATTTGATTAGGAAGAATTCAAAAGCAGATTTCCGAAAAGTGAACTGAAGAAGGCAGGAGAAGCCTTTATATAGGCGAGGAGGCGGAGGATAGCGCGACGCGTGATAGGTAGAGGAAGTGACGCGTCAGCCGGCACACGCGTGGCACATGGGAAGGTGAAACGACAGGTAGAGCACAATGATGGCGTACGGGAAGAGCGTGACACGTGTCGAAATGTTGATTTTTGAAATTCAAATTCAAAAATCTAGACGGGAAAAGTTTAAAATTCAAATTTCAAGCACCCGATTCCAATTTGTCACTTCCCTCCCTTGATAAATTTACAAGGCCGAGAAGTGGGGGCTTAGGCCCCGTTCCGTTCAACTTATTTTTTCTTATTTTTATTAAAATCAGATCAGATCGAATCAGATGAGATCCAATCAGATCAGATCATATTAGAGCCGATCAGATCAGGACTTATTAAAATCAGATCCCATCAAGAATTATTATTATTATTATTATATTATTATTATTATCATCATCATTATTGTTATTGTTATTATTGTTCTTAAAAATTAAAAAAGAATAAACTTTAGAAACAAGTTAAATAGAAAAGTGAGAAAGTAATCCTTAATTATTAGACGTCAGAAAAATTAGTTTTAAAATACATTGACAATGTTAATATAATTTTACTTTTAAAATATATTTTTATTGCTACTTGTAACTTGAGTTTCTAAAGTTTTGATCTTTTATAAGGATGAGATATTTTAATAAAAATACTATCTCTTCTATATATTGATTATCTAAATTTAATTACTTTTTAGTTTTTAATGTATATATAAATTAAATATTAATTCTAATGTATATATGAAGTAATTATTAAAATATTAAATTAATATTCTAATTTCAGAAAAAAATAATCATAAAATAAAACATGTTATTATATTATAATATGAATGATTATTCTAATATATGAATTAACTAATTTTATTTTATTAAAAAATAATCATTAAATAAAAAATATTCATTATACTATAATATGAATTATCATTACAATTTTCAAACGTTATTATAAAGTCAAGTCAAATTATTGATTTTAATTTTAAATCAAATCATAATTAATCAAATCAGATCAGACCATATTAGATCAGATCCAATCAGATTAGATCAGATCCAATCAGATCAGACGAGATCAGATCCAATCAGATCAGACCAAATCAGATCCAATCAGATCATATTAGATTAGCCATATCAGATCAGAACTTATTAAAATCAGATCAGATCAGAAAAAATAAGTTGAACGGAACGGAGCCTTATTGATGGGTGTATTCCACCCACGACCCGGTCCAAATATGGGTCCGCAGAAGCTGACCGTTCAGATTCAAACGAGTGACGCAAGTTTTGTCGAAATAACTCTCAGGTTTCTTTAGTTTCAACAAACAGATGTCCTTACATTTTATTGTAATGATTGAGAGGGGACATTTCATCACATACTCCATCCATAAGCATTGCATTAATAAATGCATTTTTTTTCCTATTTTGCCATTACCAGTTTATGATAAAAACTTTTAGGTCCCTCACTTTAGTCTATTTGTTTAATTTCTCTTTTTGTCTCTCCTTTTCACTTTATTTCCTTTTTCATAAATATTTTTTAAAAAGAGTTTCTTTCTAGAAAATAGTTTCAAAATTTTAAATTTTGCATGATATAAAAATAAATGAAATAAGGACATTATCAAAAAAGAAAATTAGATCTCTTTTTTAATATTCCATACAAAGTATTAAAAAAAGAATCTTGATGAGTTTCTAAAGAATTTATTTTGTTATTTTTCAATTTTTTAATTTTACTAAGTTTTTTCTTTTTTAGAAGGTTTTTTATTTCATTTATTTTTATATCATACAAACAATTTTGAATTTTCATACGATTTTATAGAAGAAATTCTAAAAAACACTTTAAAAAGAGTAACAAAAAAAGAAAAAAAAAGAAATAAAAAAAGGAGCAAACTCAGAGTTATTACCATAAAATATTAAGATAAAAATAAGAAAAATACATTTATTAACATTTATGAATGAAATTGGATGGAATGTCACATCCCAGTCATTACAACAAAATGTAAGGACCCACGTTATCTTCCTAAAAATAGAGAGACCTGCAAGTTATTTCGATAAAACTCACGTCACCCGTGAGTAGTTTTCTATACGTTTTAATACTATTTAATACGGAGTACAAATTTCACAATGTATATCATATCTGTCACACACACAGAATACTTATTTATACACTCAGATATAACAAAAATGCTAGGGGTATACCAAAGGCAAAAAAATTCAAAAAAAATAAGTAAATGAAAATCAAATAAAAATGTGTATCCCTAGCATTACTCTAGATATAATGTCACTAACAAAATGTTAGTGATTTGGTATACTCCTTACAAACCCCAAAGAGTTATTGGGTGGGCCTCACGCCCACTAAACGCCATTTGTGGTTCACAACACTTTGTTTGGTAATGAATTGTTAACCTCTTATCATCTCCTTGAAATCTCTTCCCTTCCTCACCATGATGAGAGAAGAGATGAGGAGAGAAAAGATGATGACAGTCATTAGCCTTACTACTACTTACTCGGTGAAGAAGATGATGAGCTGTGCGTGAGAGGCGTTGTACAAAGGATTGGCCCCCACCACCCATGTGCCATCCCTCCTGTCTCCACCAGCTCCTGCCGCTCAATCATTAGCCCTCTGTTCCCCCCCACCATCTTTTTCTTCCTCCTCCTCCTCCCAATCCTCCCCCATCCGCCATTTTCTCCTCCGCTTCCGGCTGTGTTTTTCTTCCGTTTCCGGCCTAAATGTCGACGACCTCCGTGGACTGCAACGGAACCCTAATCGACCCACACCACCACCAGCAACAGCAGCAGCAGCAGGTGGGTTCCGGTAATGGGTCTTTAGTTGTCAAGAAGCCGCCGGCTAAGGACCGGCATAGCAAGGTCGACGGCCGCGGGAGGCGAATTAGGATGCCGATCGTTTGCGCCGCTAGGGTTTTCCAGCTTACCCGCGAGCTTGGCCACAAGTCCGACGGCCAGACGANAATGTCGACGACCTCCGTGGACTGCAACGGAACCCTAATCGACCCACACCACCACCAGCAACAGCAGCAGCAGCAGGTGGGTTCCGGTAATGGGTCTTTAGTTGTCAAGAAGCCGCCGGCTAAGGACCGGCATAGCAAGGTCGACGGCCGCGGGAGGCGAATTAGGATGCCGATCGTTTGCGCCGCTAGGGTTTTCCAGCTTACCCGCGAGCTTGGCCACAAGTCCGACGGCCAGACGATTGAGTGGCTCCTCCGCCAGGCGGAGCCGTCGATTATTGCCGCCACCGGTACCGGGACGATCCCCGCTAGCTTCTCCACGATTTCTCCGTCTTCCAGGAGCTCTTCCTCTCTCGGGACGTCTCTATTGGCTTCGTTCGACCAGAAGCCTGTCGCTCCGGCGCCGTTCCTTCTCGGGAAGCGGCTGCGGGTCGAGGAGGACGGCCTGGACGACGGCGGTAGAGGGAACAAAGACGAGGTCTCGGCCGCCGCAACCGTCGTCGGCCCCGCCGCCGGATTTTGGGCGTTCCCGGGCAGGCCGGACTTCGGGCAGGTCTGGAGCTTCGCTGCCCCTCACGAGATGGTGGTGCCGTCGCAGGCGGCGGCCGTATTGAATTCCCAGGCGACTCGATTTTTCCAGCAGCAATTAGGGGAAGCGTCGGCGGCTAGGGTTGGGAACTACTTGCCCATTGCACAAGGGCACCTTAATTTGCTAGCCTCCCTCTCCGGCGCTCCCTCCTCCGGCCGGAGAGACGACGACGACGGCCATTGAAGCTTCTTTCCGGGGAGCTGATGATGCTAGTACCATTAATGTTTGTTTCTTTTTTTGTGTGTGTGCCTTTTCTTAGGCCATGTTAGAATGACTCCAATTTTGACACCACACATAACAATCAATCTATAAATTTGTTTGCAGATATGATTATCATCCGTCTTATCTCTGCGAAGCATGAGTAAACTCACGATAACACCCACCCTAGCATGACTCAATTCAGTATGTCAAGTGTCCTACAAATTTACATACGGTTGTCATCGGTGGTGTCAAAATTTGTGTTATTCTAGCACTTTTGTTTGTTTTAGTTTTTGCTATTGTTGTTTTTGTAGATGGACAAACTGGGTTTTAGTCTTTTTTAGGTTTAGGTTTTCCATTGAGTGATGGCATTGATACTGATTAGGGTTTTTTCTTCTTCTTTGAATTGGATGAATTGCTGCTGTTAGAAATTGAGGGGAATTTTGCTTCTTTATCAGTGCTTAAAAAAGTGCTAAATTTTCCCAGGTAGGTTTTGGACCAACAAAGAAATGGTGGGGCTGGAAAGTTTCCTGTTTCCACCACAATCTGCACAATGTGATCTAAATAAAAATTCTTGTTTGCTTCACTCAAATAGATACACCCAATTCTAAGTATACATCACCTTCTCTCATATCCCATGGGATAATGGGATATCCTCATATCCCTAGCAAAATCCATTTTGAATCAGTCAAATTATATAATTTTTGAGTTAATAATGTATATTAATCTTGAAAATAATATTTTTAAAATAGTACTCTCTTTCGTCCTTAATTGATCTTTTCAGTCACTATTTACATGGTTAAACTTTGATCACTCTTTTTATATCTATTTTCATTAGTTATTTAATAAAATAATGTAGTCATGTCACCTCTTGTTTTGTAAAATTTTGGATGTTTTAAAATACTTTGTATATAATTTTTAATTTTTAATTTTACACATATAATCACTTAAATTGAATTGAAAATAATTTCAATCAAATAAATCGAATGGACAAGATCATTCTATGATGGATGGAGTAATGTTAAACTTTAATATTGTGGCCAACTAGGGCCTAGATGTCTCATAATAATATTTCGTTTGCACCAATTAACATGTCATACTATTTTTTGTAATCTATTAACAAGCTCATAAAAAACATCTTTTATATTTGTATTGACCACATGAACTACCCGAGTCGTTTAATAATATCTTAAGTTGTCTCTGTTTTTGGGTGGTTTGGAGTTTGGCCAAGAGGCCTTTTTTTTGCTTGTGACCGGAGTGAGCAGAATAAAGAATAAAATACTCACTCCGTCCTAAAACTTTCTTCTCGTTGCGCAAAACGAAGAAAAATCCCAAATTTTTTCAATCTATTTTATTTAAATATTGGTATAGAAATAAAAAATAAAACATACATATTTAAAAACTACATCAAAAGTTCAACAAAACAAGTAGTGATAAGAATATTTTATTTTATCATATAGGCCATGAAAAAATACACATAAATATAAATTTCCGTGAAGTTGGAATAGTGCGGGAAGAAAGTTTAGGACGGAGGGAGTAATTGCTTTTGACTTTCTTATTTGGTTGAAAGTTCAAACGAACCTATTTCAAATGTTTATCATTTCCGAAAATATAGATATGAGAAATTGTTAATGCACCCCACCTTTAACCCCACTATACACCTTAGAGTAGTGGAAATACATTTAGGCACTCTTTGGTTGGAGGTAGGGCGAGGTAAAGTGAGTGTATTTTTACACTTTACCTCTTAGGACCATGTTATAAACATTTTGACGGTTTACACCGACACAAATGTTGGTGCGTTAACAAAAATTTACACGGACACAAAGTATTGGTGCGTTAACAAAAATTAGTTTTACACTAACACAAAATGTTGGTGCAAAACTGCGGGTACAAATTGGGGTAGAAAAGTTTGGGGTACAAGTATCCTCTACCTCTTAATAGTGTTTTTTCTCGTGACCGTCGATTTGGCGAACAACCTAGGTAATTATTTCCTCTTTTCGCTGCTGCCCTCTTCCTCTTCTTTTTCGGAATAGAAGATCGAAAGCAGTAGGCGTTCTCCGCTGCCTTGTCTGCGCAGATCTTCATCTACGACGCAGGCCTTCAGTTCCTTGCTCCGCTCTCGCAGATCTCCCCAGGCCTTCAAACCCTATTGATTGTCGACGGCTTTCTTGGGTACGGTCTCAATTAGCCCTTTCAACTTTTTTCACATTTTTTTGTGGTTTCTTTTTTTGTTGTTTTTTTAATCATTGAAATATCATGCTTTGATTTTTTTCCTGGTTTTTTTAAATGTTTTTTTCGGTTTTGATTTTCATTTTTTGGGGTTTCTTTTTGTTGTTTCCCCTTTTTTTGTTTTATTTTTTGTGAAGTTTTTGTTTTTTTGAGTAAAAAAAACAAGGGCATATAAATAATTTTATTATTCTAGCTACCTCACATTACCCAATAAATATTCAAACACAATCTTTCAATTTATTATCTTACTTTATCTACCTTCAATTACCTACCTAATAAAACTTAACCTACCTCCAACCAAACATACCCTTAACGCCGGGGGCGTTTAACACCGCCGCCCTATGGGCATCACGGGCATGCGTCAAAAGTTTAACGCAAACTCCCCCCTCTCCAACGGCTAATTTAGCCGTTACAATTTTAAAAAAAGAATTCTTTAATTTTTTTTTTATAAATATCAAACTCAATCTTCACTTTTGCACATCTTTCTTTTCTTCAATCTCCAATTCTCAAACTTCTTCATATCTTTAATTTCTTCAATTTCTGTTAACATGAATCCCTTTGGAGTTGGTTTTTCTCCGACAATCTCGAGCCAAACGAGTACGCCATGTGGATCTTCCAATAATATGGGAGTAATCTAAGATTGTTCAAAACGCAAACATCGGTGAACCTCGATGAGGCGGAGTCGGTTCTAGAGACTCAACCGGAACCATCGACAACTAATATTTCTTACAATTTAAAAGGAAAAAAAAGAAAATTATATGATTATTAACTTCCCCGCGCCCCCACCTAAAATAAATTACCGTCAGCCGCTGCCTAACACGCTATATTGCCATCACCGTCACATTATCGTCATACCCGTCACACTGTTATAATCACAACCATACTGCCACACTGTAATTCTATCATCACACTGCTTCCACCTCTGTCACAATGTTACTGTTACATTGTCATTACACTACGACAAATACAACCACACTGCCACCCCTATCACACCACTAGACACTGTTATCACACTTCCACAACTACAACCACGTACACTAACACCGTCGCCGTCACAGTGCCACCACAACCACATTGTCACTGCCAGTCTTGCACTATCATCAATTTCAAAACATTTCCAAAAGATACAAACTTTTTTGAAGAACTTCTGACATAGTTTTAAAATATTTAAATTTTCTTTTTATATTTATGTCAATTTTTAAATAAAATAAATATAAAAAACTTAAAACTTCATTTCATTTTATATAATATGGAAAACATTTTGGGACGAAAGTATTAGGTATATGACTTGGAGTTGGAAAATGACTTTTTTGTGTATGAAAAATGACAATATTTTTTTTATCCTAAAAACATTGATTAAGATAACATGTATGAGTATAATAATAATAATAATAATAATAAATTATAAGAATTACTGAATTAGAAAGAGAATGATATAAAAAATAAACTTAAATAAATTTTTAATTTTTAATTTTTTTAGGTTTTTCAATTCCGTCTAATTTCTATCAATTTTTCTAATTTTTTTTAATATTTTCTAATTCCTATCATTTTTTTGAATTTCTTTTAATTCCTCTCAATTTCTTCTCACATTTAATTTTTTTAGTAAAAAAGAACGGCCCCGAGTAGTGAGAGTGAGTAGCGAGAAATTGAACGCAAAAATGGCAAAATGGCATCAATCTCAACTTCTTTTAACATTCTCCGCCGCCCCTCTCCTGAGTCTCCGCCGCCCCACGCAGAGAATCCCTGCGGCAGAGCGGCCTGCTTCTCTCCCGTGTCTCCGATAACGTTGCCGAAGGCGTCCAACTTCGTTCGATAGATTCCGGCTCAACAGGAGTATTTCCGACAACGTCGCCGAAGACCTCCTGTTGCCGGCTCAACAGGAGTATTTCTGTGAGCGTTATGATGCTTCATGTACACAGTTCCTCCGGAATCGTCCGAGGCCAAGAGAATCGGCACAACCGTACTCAAGCAAGCCTCCGCCTCTGCTCTCAGCCGTATGAATATGAACCCCAGCAAGTATTTTTTCGTTCTTCCTTCCATTCTTTGAATTTTAGAAGGTTATATTTGCAAGCTCACGCATCTAAGTTCACCTCACTACGAGAAAACCAACCCCTTCTCAAAATTGGAAGTAACACAACTATCAAGTTTGATAGCGGAGTTAGGGTTTTTGCTAGGGTTAAGCTTCGGTGTTGTTCAAAGGCTTTAGGTTCTCGTTTGAAAACCACCATGAATGGTAAAAGGAAAGGGCATGCAGGTGTATTGCCAATTATTTTGCGGTCTTTGGCCACTGAGAGTGAGGCGGAGAAGATACTTGATTCATATTGCGGCCAACTTAGTGCTAAGGAGTTAACTGTGATTCTCACGGAACAGAGTAGTTGGGAGAAGGTAATTAGGGTGTTCGAGTGGATGAAATTGCAGAAAGATTATGTGCCTAATGTGATACACTACAATGTTGTGCTACGCACCCTGGGCAGAGCTAGAAAATGGGATGAGTTGAGACTCTGCTGGACTGAGATGGCGAAAGATGGGGTTTTGCCAACAAATAACACATACGGAATGCTTGTTGATGTGTATGGAAAAGCAGGTCTTACAAAGGAAGCACTTCTGTGGATTAAGCATATGAAGGTGAGAGGAATTTTTCCCGATGAGGTTACAATGAGCACGGTGGTTAAAGTTTTGAAGGATGCTGGAGAGTATGAACGGGCAGATAGGTTTTATAAAGAGTGGTGCACTGGGAAGATCACTTTTAATGGTCTTGATTTGGATTCTATTTGTGAGACGAATACAATTTCTAGTTCAGAGCCCTTAAGTTTGAAGCAATTTTTATTGACTGAGCTTTTCAGGACAGGAGCCAGGAGCCCATCTAGGGCTGTGGAATTTTCAGAAGCAGAGGGATCTCTCAGGAAACCTCGACTTGCATCAACGTATAATACCCTGATTGATATGTATGGAAAGGCAGGCCGTTTACAAGATGCCGTGGATGTGTTCGCAGAAATGTTAAAGTCTGGAGTGACATTGGATACTTTTACTTTCAACACCATGATCTTTATTTGTGGAAATCATGGTAATTTGGGCGAAGCTGAAGCTTTGCGCTATAAGATGGAGGAAAGAGGGATATCTCCAGATGTAAAAACATTCAATATCTTTATCTCTCTGTATGCCAATGCAGGGAACACAGACATAGCTCTTCAGTACTACAAAAGGATAAGGGAGTTTGGCCTTTTCCCTGATGATGCATCTCGTAGATCCATCCTTTTTATACTATGCAAAAAACGAATGGTGCATGAAGTTGAGGCTGTGCTTAAAGAAATTGAGAGTTTAGGCATGCATGTTGATGAGGGGTGTCTTCCAGTTGTTACAGAACTGTATGTTAGTGAAGGACTGATGGAGCAAGCAAAGATCTTACTTGAAAAGTCTCAATTGACTGGTGGTCTGTCATCAAAGACTTACGCTGCCATCATGGATGTGTATGCAAATCGGGGACTCTGGGCTGAAGCTGAGGATGTTTTCTCCTGTGAGAGGGATATGTTCAGGCAGAGGAGAACAGTGTTGGAGTATAATGTCATGTTCAAAGCTTATGGGAAAGCAAAGCTCTATGATAAAGCCTTTTCCCTCTTCAAGGGAATGAAAAGTCAAGGGACATGGCCTGATGAATGCACTTATAACTCTATGATTCAGATGTTTTCCGGAGGTGACTTAGTGGACCAAGCAAAGAAACTTTTAACTGAAATGCAAGATGTTGGATTTAAACCATCATGTCTGACGTACTCTGCATTAATTGCTAGTTTTGTCCGTGTGAGTAAACTTTGTGATGCTGCTGATGTTTTTCAAGAAATGCTTAAAACTGGAGTAAAACCAAATGAGGTAGTGTATGGATCTTTAATTGATGGGTTTGCTGAAGCTGGTCACTTTGAAGAAGCCATGAACTATTTCCGTATGATGGAGGATTCTGGGGTATCAGCTAATCAGATAATCTTAACTTCCATGATTAAGGCATATAGTAAGCTTGGTTCAGTAGAAGGAGCAAAACATTTATATGACAAGATGAAGAACACGGGCACAGGTCCCGACATTATTGCATCTAATAGTATGCTCAATATGTATGCAACGTTAGGAATGATATCTCAAGCAAAATTGATATTTCGTGATTTGCGTCAGAAAGGGAGGGCAGATGAGGTAACTTTTGCTACTATTATGTATGCGTACATGAACATGGGTATGCTAAGTGAAGCCATTGGCATTGCAGAGGAGATAAAACAGTCAGGATTTCTGAGGGATTGCATGACATTTAACCTGGTGATGGCATGCTATTGCTCAAATGGCAAACTTGTTGAGTGTGGTGAGCTGTTGCATGAAATGGTAGACATGAAGCTTCTACCAAACAAATCAACATTTAGAATATTATTCACCATATTACGTAAGGGAGATTTTCCAGCTGAAGCAATCAGACAGCTTAAGTCATCATATATAGAAGGGAAAGATCACGGAAGCGATGCTGTGATAACCTCTGTATTTTCTATGCTGGGTTTGCATGCATATGCACTTGAATCATGTGAGATCTTCATAAAACCAACAATGGGGCTTCATTCCTTTGTCTACAATGTTGCAATATATGCTTATGGAGTATCAGGGGATACAGATAAGGCCCTCAACATCTTCATGAAAATGATTGATGTGGGTCTGAAACCAGATGTTTTTACATATCTTGGCCTTGTAGTTTGTTATGGAAAATCTCGCTCAGTTCAAGGCATAGAGCGGATATATATGCGACTAAAATGTGGAGACATCAAGCATGATGAATCATTGTATAATGCCATCATAGATGCCTATAAAGATGCCGGCAGAGGCGATCTCGCTTATTTGGTTAGACAACAGATGAGGCTTGCTAAAACAGAAGGTGATTTTGATGAAGAACAGTACCCTAACTCTGAAACTGAGGATTCTTTTGATGAAGATGAGTGCCTTTACTCTAAAAGTTAGCAATGACATTCTTGGAACAATACTAGCAGGTCATCAACTCCTTATCCAGAATTTAGAATGATAGATGTTGAAATTTTCTGCCTTCAAGATTTTCAGTTGGATATGAGGATATAATCTGCTTGTGTTTTGTTACTGTATAGATCTTCGTTAAGTAGAAGATGAGCATATGATCACTTTTCCTCAATTGGTCAACATTTGTAGTTGTACGTTGTACATTTTATTTTACTGATTTTCACGGTATATGTAGGCAGTTACACTTATTTTCTTTTTACTGTTATTTCTTGAGTGACACCTGAAAGATCTGAATTTTTGTTAATTCTATTTGGCACGTGTCCTGACATGTTACTATACTTCATTCTTTCCCTTCTCTCTTTCAGATTAACATCATCTCTTTCTCACACAGAAACCTAAGATTTTCAACCTTTGTTTTTCTGGTCAATTGAAGCATCTGAGTAATTATTAAGCTTTGAACTTTTTGAAGAAATTTCTCTCCTACCAGATTTAAAAATAAACCACAATTCATTAGACCACGATACTTCAGTTTTCACTCCTTTTACATCTGAAGTTCAAGAAACAAATAGTGGGCTGCACAAAATATTGAGCCTGGAGCATGTGATTTTACAAAGAATGTGAAGGCACCCCTTTCCCCCTTTTCAATGTGTTATTCAGAAGGGGTGTGGGCAGTGATTAATCAAGCAATTGTGTATTTAATTATCAGGTTATCAAGAGGAAGGTACTAGGTTGAGGTATATTATTTGTAAATGGACTTTGCCTCTGTGACGTTCCTCCTCTAGTTCTCTTCCCTCAGCTAAAATCATGAATGCCTAATGGTGTTTGCTGTTTTCTGTTTTTTCAGACCAAGATATGAATTCCTTGATTGCCAAATGACGATGCTCGCCAAAGGTGATAAAAATTCTATGCAAATATGAGTTATGGCTTACGGCTTTGGACCATGGCTGCTGATTAGCTAATGAAGAAAACATAGACGAACCAGATCAAAGAAAAATTAGAGAGGGAAGGGGGGAACTGTACTATGACTAATATCCCCTGGCAGAACAGGTGAACTATAAAAAAGGATAACTTTAATTTGTTGGTGCTGACTAAACAAAAGATAACTTTAGTTTGTTGGTGTCAACTTTAAAACTTATACTAGCTCAGTCTCTACTTCTTGGTTTTATTGGTTGGTTATTGCTATAGTCTCACCAATTCTACAACAGACTTTGATCAAAACTTTGAGGGTTGCCATTGGATGTGTTCAGGATCGGAACTGAATCCATACATTGAAATTTTTTCAAACTTAGTTTGACTTAGATTCATGTTTAGTTTGTCTCAATGGGTTAGATAAAGTTCATAATCACCTGTATTGAATAAAAATGTCCACGTTTTCCTCATAAATTTAATGATTAAACTTTTGCGGGTACATATCTTCCAGATAATTCGCCCCTTATATGATTGGGAAGCATGTTGACCTAGGGCGTGTTTGTATTTCTGCAGATTGACCCTCGAAGAGCGAAAGAAAGCAGCTTTTGACCTTCATTATTTTTGGTGTTTTGAGCTAGAACGCTACAAAACAAACAGAGGAATCTGTAAGTATTTTGTGGAATTTCAAACTCACCCCAATTTGCACATGGAGTTACAATGTTATTCCTCTTTTTTTATAGCTACTAATATCATATTTCTACAAAGTAAAAGCATCAACCATTTTCTGATTGTGTGCAGTTCTGGCTTGTTATCAGACCTTGGTCCAAGTGTGGTTTGTTAGTTTCTTTGGAGCACACTTTAGCCACCACTAACAAAGCAACCATGCAAGACACTAATGGTAGAAGATGCCTAAGTCTCATGTCCATACAATAATATTATGTCTCGGTTTACAATTTGAACATCTGTGCAACGACACATTTGTCCATCAGTCAAACTACATCCAAAAGATGTTAGTACATTTAATATGGACAAAGAACATTCGTTGAGTATACCTATGGTTGTCCGATTGTTAGATATATATAAAGATCCTTATCTCCCCCAAGAAGAGAGTGAAGAAGTACTTGGCCCTGAAGTACCATATATTTTTAAGCGCGATCTGCTTACTCATGTATCTTGTAAACAATACAAGACCTGATATTGCATACTCAGTACTCCTGTTAGCAAGATTCTGTTCAAACCCAACACGTAGACATTATAACAAAATAAATCAGATATTTTAATATATTTGTAGGACATGAGACTTAGGCCTCTTCTACCAGAAAGATGAAAAGCCCCACCTACTAGTGTATGTTGATGCATGATATTTATAGATCCACACAATGCATGTTCTCAAACGGGTTACGTGTTCATATACGGTGGTTCAACAATTTCTTGGAAGTCGGTCAAAAGTGCACGTGGTTGAGATCGATGATTGATCATATACGAGGAGCATGTAGTTTTGATGAAATCAAGAAGAATCCTACAATTATATATGAAAATAGCGCAACATGCATAGCTTAGATCAGGGAAGGCTTCATCCAGGGAGATAGAACGAAGCATATCTCATCAAAGTTTTTTCTCAACTTATGACCTGTAGAAAGAGGGAGAGATTGGTGTCCTTCAAGTCAAACCAAGCGAATAATGTGGCACACCTTTTTACTAAGGGGGTGTATCCAATTTAGATTTTAAAAGATTATGTTGAATTTTTTTTTGTAATATATGGATTATGTAAAACTCATAGGTTGCTTGAATTCTATATTGATACGTGTAGATTTTACTGAATTTGACTATTGAATTGCTTAGATTTTAAAAACTTCCTAAATTTTGATTTCTCTATGGATGAACATCACAAACCTTGTTCTCTACCTACTGCCGCCATCCCAAACAATTTCACTTCTGATGTTACCCAACCAAAAATTATGTAACTACGATACCCTGCCTATTCAGATTTTATCTAGCCCGATTTGTCACCCCGCCGATTCAATATTGTAGCACTAGTAATAGTGGGCAGATGACTTAATAAAATAAAAAGAGCAGATATCTGACGAAGAGATTTGGAACTTGGATTTGTATTTATAAGCCAGGCATGAAAATCCATCAAAATCTACATTATTAAAAATCTTTAAGAATCTATCAATTTTTTTAAAACAATCATATTTAGAAGGATTTTTTAATATCAGAATTGAATACATTCAGATTTTAAATTACTTTTTAAAATCTGAGTTGAATAAATCCATATTTTAAATGACTTTTTAAAATATGAATTGAATGCCTACAAATTTTCAAAATCCAAAAAAATTCATCAGAGTTGTGATTGAATACACACCCCTAACTCTATGCTTATAAAGAAGATTGGACTTCGTAGACTAAAAGATATAAATTAATTTCGAGGGGGGATACATATTATTATTATTATTATTATTATTATTATTATTATTATTATTATTATTATTATTATTATTATTATTAGGGGTGGGCACGGATCGGGACGGTCCGGATTTTAGGTTGTCCCACGTCTTGTCCCGTTATATATAAATGGTCCGGAACGGTTCGGATCACAATCTAATCCCGGTTTGTCCCATAAAATTCGGGATCAGAATAAAACGGGACGGATTCGGGTCGTTCTACTTTGTCCTAATCGCAAATATAAGAAGGGGAAGAGGGTGACATTTCATTCAAAAAAAGAAACATCTAGTCATCCAACAAAAAATAATGACTGGAACGGGTCCAAATAAATTTCAAGCTCATGAAGTTAATTTAATTAAATAACTAATTAATTAAAGAATGAGTGTATTTGGATTTTGGACTAGAATTAGTATTATATATTAGTAGAGTAGATGAAACGGGACAAACGTGACGGATCGGTATAAATTTAAGTTGTCCCGCTCATGTCCCATTTGATATAGAGACGGAACGGGTTCGGAACAAAAAACGGATCCAGGATTTTTCAGGACGGTCCAACGGGAACGGATTTCACGCCCACCCCTAATTATTACTCCCTCCGTCCCAAATTATAATGCCTGTTTACTATTCACATGGTCAAACTTCATTCACTTTCTTTCTCTATTTTCGTTAACAATTTGATAAAATAAAGTATTATTGTCACTACTAGTTTTGTAGATCTTTTGATGTAGTTTTTTAATATGTAATTTTTATTTTTTAATTCTATACCATTTGTCATATAAAATGGTTTGAAAATAATTTCAGTCAAACATCGTAAACCGAAACAGACGTTATAAATTGGGACGGAGGTAGTATTATTATTGTTGTTGTTGTTGTTGTTATTGTTGTTATTGTTATTGTTGTTATTGTTATTGTTATTGTTATTGTTGTTGTTGTTGTTGTTATTGTTATTGTTATTGTTATTGTTCTTGTTATTGTTATTGTTCTTGTTATTGTTTTTGTTACTGTCATTGTTATTGTTATTATTGCAACCTATGATTGTTATCAACTTGTAAGAAAAAATAGATAGAGTCATGGAAGAACATGTCTAGTCGTTAAAAGGATAGCGCCACCCTCCCCCGCTTATTGTTATTATTATTATTATTATTATTATGAGATAATAATAATGTCATATTTGAAGGTATTGATCATGACATAACCGTGTGGAGCCATAATTTGTCTGAACCAAAATTTTTGTTTCCACACCAGCCACAAGGTATCATACAACTAGGATTCGAAAGCAATGCGCCTCACAACTATACACATAAATTTCTAATTTTTTGTTTTAAATTTAGGGGAAAAAATGTAGCATAAAGATTATTCATATTTTTAAAATAAACTCATTACGTAAGATGTAGAAAAATGTACTCCTTCTGTTCCGGAGTATTTGTCTACTTTTGACTTTTTTTAGTCAATATTGGAAAACTTTGACCCCGAATTAGATAAAAATGATATTAGATATTGACACAAAAATAGTGTTATGAGATTTATTATATAAAATACTTTTAAAATATTATTTTATCTAATTAATATAAAATATATATTTTAATTTATTATAGGTCTAAGATTGAAAACGATTGACTGAAAAAAATCAAAACTGGACAAATATTCTTGAACGAAAGCAGGAATATTTTGTAGAATAAAGATTTATATTCATTTTTTAATATTAATTTGAATTAAATTTAGATCAAATCAAATCAATTCAAATGAAATCAAACCTAATAAGATCCATTCAAATCCTATCAAAACTTTAAAAAAGTGGGTCAGATTAGACCGAACGCACCCCTAAAGTTATCTCTTTTTTTTTTAAAAGTGGTAGGTTCCTTAAAAGAGGAATGCTAGGGGTACACCTGGTGTACCCCATTTGTCCTCCACCTATTTCTCCACCATACAATTTTTTTTATTTGTTTAATTTATTTTTATTTTCTTGTCTTTTTCGTGGTTTTTCGTGGTGTGCCACAAACTAGCATTTTTCTCCGTAAAAACCCTATTTATCCTAATCCCGTCTTCTCCAACAACGAGATTTGATTTCAAAGCAAAAAAAAGAGAAGGAAAGATGTCGTACTTGCTGCCCCATCTTCACTCCGGTTGGGCCGTCGATCAAGCAATCCTCGCAGAGGAGGAGCGCCTCGTCCTCATCCGCTTCGGCCACGACTGGGACGAGACCTGTATGCAGGTATCTTTTCCATCGTTAGCAAATCGAATTCCAATTCATTTCTCTCTATACCATTCTGTTTGTCCTAAAATTACGATCAGGTTTAATGGGGGAATTGCGTGAATCAGTACTGCCTTAATATCTGAACTTATTTTCTGTTAATTGTAACAAGAAAGAACCTATTTTTAATTAAGTGAGATTTTTATTTTTAAATTTTGTTTAGAGGCCCTCAAAAAAAAGTTATTTAGAGGAGAGACTAAAGAGAATCAATTTTAACCATACACACTTTTAGGGAAAGTGGAATGATTTTCTTGGGACAGCCTGAAAAGAGAGAACATGATTATGGGGTGGGAGAGTATTCAATAGTAATTTGTAAAATATGTATGGTTGGAATGTGTAATACTGTAATTCTATATGGACTTTATATGGGTTGATTTAGTATCATTGATCCTTTGTAAGAGTTGGAATTAATAATGTGTTCAAATGTTTTGACATCTTATTAGAACCTTGTAGCAGTTTATTAACTTATTAAACTCCTACTCTAACTTGCCTGAAAAGAGAGAACATGATTATGGGGTGGGAGAGTATTCAATAGTAATTTGTAAAATATGTACGGTTGGAATGTGTAATACTGTAATTCTATATGGACTTTATATGGGTTGATTTAGTATCATTGATCCTTTGTAAGAGTTGGAATTAATAATGTGTTCAAATGTTTTGACATCTTATTAGAACCTTGTAGCAGCAGTTTATTAACTTATTAAACTCCTACTCTAACTTGCACGGAAATGGGGACGGGTACTCATCCGGGTCGTGGTCAGAAACAGGGAAACACTAAATTTTCCATATGTTACAAAGGATTTGGATGTTAGGATGTCTCCAAATACCCAAACGGCAAGTTTCGGCGATGGGAAACGGAAGTTATTTGAGGAATCTGTGCAACATGCTAACAATGGTTTTACTCATAATGTCTTTCCATGCCCTTTCTCTGCTTACAATAAGATATTCTATTCCGAACTTAGTGAGTTACATGTGTGTCTATTATTTGATTTGATGAGTGGGATTCTTGATGAAACTATGCAAGTGCTTCATAAACTAGTATCATATATTTGTTCTGTTTAATTCACTTAGCTTGATGTCTAGCATTTTTTCCTGTTTGAGCATTTGGTTTTGTTTGGTATTACAGGAAGTCCTACTTATACTACTTTTCTTTTCTTTGATTTCTCATGGTATAAAGATGCAAACTATAGGGATGCATACAAAG